CCCCCCCCCCCCCCAGTGTCCCTTCCTTACCCAATCATTTTGCCGAGCAGGTACACAGGCACGAACCGCAGCAACACGCCCACCAGCCGCCGTCGGCTCGACGCAGACTCCTTCGAATCACTGCTGACCTGCACCACACGTGCCCCCCATCCATCCATCAGATCCCGGCCATCCAAGTTCTCTCATCTTTGTTTGTCACCTGCATCAGGTCGCAGTATTCCTCCCCCAGTGTGCGCGACGCCATGACGGCCGTCGCAACGAAGTAGAGCATGTCGCCAACGAGCACCAACTCCCTCTTCCATCGTGACGTCCACCGATAACCCGCAGCGGCCTCAGCCACGGCCAGGAGTCGCTCGCGCAGGATGCGGCTGTAGTGTTCGTCTTTCTGGCTTGCCCGGATGATGTCGGCTTGGCCGGCGAAGGGCGCGCCGGAGGAAGATACAGAAGCCATCCGTACGAAGTCAAGTCAGGACTCATGAAACGACACCGAAATGGGCGGATCTTGAGGAGGCTTTCCAACACTCCGGCACGACAGTGGCTCTGACGATTTTGAGCAGTCTGAGTTTGCGAGCCATCATCTTGCGAGCTTGAAACTCAAATGAGGCAGATGCCAGACAGCTGTTGAGGAAATGATGTGTCGGCCCGCAGATGGATAACCTCGGCTATAGCCTAATTGGTTTCTCAACAACCGCCATCCCACCAGGCCTGTAGCGAGTCGACAGATCCGCAATGACAAACGAAAGCGGCGGCTGCGAACCCAGCTATGACTGGTTGCCCTCGTCTGACCCGCATCCATCGCATCAAGACGCCCAGCCCGCAGCAGCGGCAGCAGCAGCCATGCCATCTGCGGCTGCCTTTTCGTCCTCCCGCCCTCCCCCCATGAAGGTGACTTCGTTGACTCCCCAGCTGCCAAAGTGCCAGCATTGCGGTCTGGACCAGAACCTGGACAAGCCGCTGGCCACGGTGGGTGTGTATGTGTGCTTCCCGTGCTTCATGAGGCGCAAGGAGTCGGAATATCGGCGGATATCGCAGGTACGTATGGGAAACAAGGGAGGGGGCGATCTGTTTGTTGGTCGTGGGACTGACTGTGTGCCATGGATGGATGGATGGATGCATGGATGCATGTGAATGCAGGCGAATGCGTGCAAGAAGTTTGGTCTGACTGCGGCAGACATCACGTCCAACCAGGAGGGCCTCGCGGTGCTGATCAAGCCCAATCCTCACGGATACGGCAACGAGATGAGGCTCTACTTCGAATTCCAGGCATGCTAACCCACCAACATCCCCCCC